GTGAATAGTGAAATTTCGGTCGGCGATACGAGTTTGTCGACGGTGGTGTTCTAATACACGGTGGTTCGCAAGAATTGTCAGAAACGATCCAAACGAAGCCAGATTCGAGTGGGAGCGATGGCTGCAGACGAAGGGAAGGTGAAAATTGAAAAGTTCGATGGTGCGGACTTTGGCTTTTGGAAGATGCAAATTGAAGATTTTCTGTACCAGAAAAATCTATATCAACCTCTTTCAGGAAAGCAACCAGAGGGCATGAAGAATGAAGACTGGGCTCTTCTCGACAGACAAGCCCTCAGAGTTATCCGACTGACGTTATCCCGCAATGTTGCTTTCAACATAGCAAAGGAAAAGACCACGGCGGGTCTTATGGCGGCTCTCTCCAGTATGTATGAGAAGCCATCGGCCTCAAACAAAGTTCATTTGATGAGGCGATTATTCAATTTGCGGATGACGGAAGGGGCATCGGTGGCACAACACCTAAATGAACTCAACACAATCACAACCCAGTTGAGTTCAGTGGAAATTGAATTCGATGATGAAGTTTGAGCTTTAATTCTCTTATCATCTCTACCAGACAGTTGGAATGCTACTGTTACAGCAGTCAGCAGTTCGTCGGGAAACAGCAAATTAAAATTCGATGATGTTCGGGACCTGGTATTGAGTGAAGAAATTCGACGGAGAGAATCGGGTGAAGCATCAACCTCCTCAGCCTTGCACACGGAGTCTAGAGGGAGAACTTCAGAAAGAAATTCAAATCATGGCAGATCAAAATCCAGAAGGGGCAAATCAAGAACATGAAATAAAGATTTTACCTGTTATAATTGTGGCAAGAAAGGTCACTTTAAAAGAGATTGTCGAGCACTGAAGAAAGATACCGGTGCACAGGAATCTGCCAACGTGACAGAGGAGACAGGTGATGCTATGATTCTAAGCATCAACAGTCCGATTGAATCATGGATCTTGGATTCAGAGACATCTTTCCACTCCACCCCATGCCAAGAAATCATGGAGAACTATGTCAGTGGTGATTTTGGGAATGTTCATCTTGCTGATGATGAAACCTTGAAAATCGTCGGAAAAGGAGATATCCGACTAAAGCTGCCAAACCAAACCACCTGGAAGCTGACAGGAGTGAGACATATTCCTGGCCTCAAAATAAATCTGATTTCTGTTGGACAGCTTGATGGAGAAGGATATAGTACAACCTTTTCAGGCTGTGAATGGAAGATTACCAAAGGAGCACTTGTCATTGCTCGTGGTAAAAAGACTGATACTTTCTATGTAACCTCAAACTTAGAGAATATCATTGCAGTAGCAGATGCTGATGGAAAATCAAACCTATGGCACCAAAGGCTTGGCCATATGAGCGAGAAATGAATGAAGATACTTCTGTCAAAAGGGAAGCTGCCGGATCTAAAGAATGTAGATGTCGGACTATGCGAGGATTGCATATTTGGCAAACAAAAGAAAGTCAGCTTTACAAAAATTGGCAAGACTCCCAAGGCAGAAAGGTTAGAATTGGTTCATACTGATGTATGGGGACCATCCCCAGTTCCATCTCTTGCAGGCTCACTATATTATGTCACCTTCATCGATGATTCAACAAGGAAGGTGTGGGTTTATTTTCTGAAGAAGAAATCAGAAGTCTTTGATACCTTCAGAAAATGGAAGGCCATGGTGGAAAATGAGACTGGTTTGAAAGTCAAACGGTTGAGGTCTGATAATGGAGGAGAATACAGAGACAGTAGATTCAGAGATTTCTACGCAAACAATGGGATAAAGATGGAGACAACAGTTCCCATAACACCGCAGCAGAATGGCGTAGCAGAGCGCATGAACAGAACTTTGAATGAACGTGCCAAAAGCATGAGGATACATGCCGGATTGCCCAAATTTCTATGGGCTGAAGCTATCAACACTGCAGCTTACCTGATCAACCGTGGACCCTCAGTTCCTTTGGATGGCGGAATACCAGAGGAAGCTTGGAGCAAGAAAGAAATAAACCTTTCATACTTAAGAGTGTTTGGTTATATTTCTTATGTACACATAAACTCTGCTGAAAGAAGTAAACTTGATGCCAAGTCCAACAAATGCGTCTTTGTTGGTTACGGTGGTGATGAGTTCGGTTACCGGTTTTGGGACTACGAAAATCGAAAGATCATCAGAAGCAGAGACGTTATTTTCAATGAAAATGTGATGTAAAAAGACAGGTCAACCGCAAAATCAAGTAATACCGAAGCTGAAATAAAGGAATTTGTTGAGTTCGAGGAGATTTCTGGAAATGATGTTCAGATCAGTCCTGAAGCAGTTCAAGAGGAAGAACCAGGCACACCAGAACTGAGACGCTCCTCCAGAATTCCTAAACCAACCCAACGGTATTCGCCTTCTTTGCACTACTTGTTGCTGACTGACAATGGTGAACCAGAGTGCTATGATGAAGCGATGCAGGTGGATGATTCAATCAAGTGGGTGTCTTCCATGAAAGATGAGATGGACTCGCTTATGTCAAATCAGACGTGGGAATTAGCTGAATTACCACCAGGCAAGAGAGCGCTCCATAACAAGTGGATTTACAGGATCAAAGAAGAGCACGATGGGAGCAAACACTACAAAGCAAGATTGGTTGTCAAAGGCTTTCAGCAAAAAGAAGGTATTGACTACAATGAAATTTTCTCTCCAGTCGTGAAGCTGTCTACAATCAGACTGGTATTGAAAATTGTAGCTGCAGAGAATTTACATCTTGAGCAGTTAGATGTAAAGACAGCTTTCCTTCATGGTGATTTGGAGGAAGAAATCTATATGAGACAGCCAGAAGGCTTCATAGAGGCAGGCAAGAAAAACCTAGTATACAGGTTGAAGAAGAGCTTGTATGGTTTAAAACAAGCTCCTAGACAGTGGTACAAGAAGTTCGATAACTTCATGGGTAGCAGTGGTTTTACCAGATGTCAAGCAGATCATTGTTGCTACATCAAGAGGTTCGACAACAACTTCATTATTTTATTATTGTACGTTGATGACATGCTCGTTGCAGGCTCAAATATGAAAGAGATTATCAACTTGAAGAAAAAATTGTCGAAGCAGTTTGCTATGAAGGATCTGGGCGCTGCAAAGCAGATTCTTGGGATGAGGATCAAGAGGGACACAAAGTCGGGGACTTTGATGTTATCACAGGCTGAGTACATCAACAAAGTACTCTCCAGGTTCAACATGCAAGATGCTAAACCAGTAAGTACACTTTTAGGTGTTCATTTCAGACTCTCCAAAGAACACTCACCAAAGACGAAGGAAGAACGTGCACACATGATGAATGTGCCGTATGCCTCAGCAATTGGAAGTCTGATGTATGTCATGGTTTGTACTAGACCAGATATTGTTCAAGCAGTGGGAGTTGTTAGCAGGTACATGAATAATCCAGGCAAGGTACACTGGGAAGTTGTCAAATGGATCCTCAGATATCTGCGGGGTACTACAAACAAAGCACTTTGTTTCAAAGGTGGAGATACGATACTGACAAGCTATGTAGATGCTGACTTAGCCGGAAATATTGACATCAGAAGAAGCACTACAAGGTATGTCTATACTCTAGGAGGAACTGCAGTGAGTTGGGTTTCTCAACTACAGAAGATAGTTGCTCTCTCCACAACTGAAGCAGAATATGTCGCTGTTACGGAAGCCAGCAAGGAGATGGTTTGGCTCCAAAGTTTCTTGGAAGAGTTAGGCAAGAAACAAGAAAACAATGTCTTGTATTGCGACAGTCAAAGTGCTATCCATCTAGCGAAGAATCCGTCTTTTCATTCCAGGACAAAGCACATACAATTGCGATATCATTTTATCCGGTCTCTTCTGGAAGATGGGATTTTGAAACTTGAAAAGATTAGTGGAGCTCAAAATCCGGCAGACATGTTGACAAAGATGGTGACCACAGACAAACTGAAGTTATGTTCAACTTCAGTTGGCATGCTAGAGTAACAAGACTAGAAAAGCTGCTGCATTGATCGAGGTGTGAAGACAGATTAAAATCAATCTTCAAGTGGGAGATTGTTGAAATTCAAAGCAGCAGCCGGCTGCTTGAATTGGGGGGGTGCTTATTTTTTTATTATTTTGTAATAGGGTTAATTACAAAATTGAATCATTGAACTTTAGGGTATTTACAAAGATTAGTCTCTAAGTTTCAACTATAAATACCCTAGCTCATTTAGCTTCAAAATCATCCCAAAAATCATTTTTTTCTCCCAATACTAGAGAGCTTTCTTGTGAGTAGTGAGTGTTTTGTAAACACCTGTAAAATTTCTCTCTTAGTAAAAGATCTGTAGCAGTCCGGAGACGTAAGCAAAATTGGCTGAACTCCGTTATCAATTTCGGGTATTATTTTTCCGCTTTTATTTCGCATTCTCACTAATTTGATTATAGGAAAATTACTTGTACTCGGTTTATTTCCTAACAGATATGAATTTCTCTTATCAGAAGCAGCCATACCTGTTGGCATCATTAAATTCCGTTTGTTCAAAGATTCCAGTGGAAGTGTCATGCTAATGGAATTATTAAATTCTTAGAAAGTAATTTATGTGGCAATGTAGTACATGTTGATCCCACCAGAAAGAATTATTGTATGGTGAACTGGCACTTGAAGTTGCTAGTGCAATCAGTTTAGTATCTGTACTGTAATTGCCTCTGGGATTTTAGCATAATTATAGCTCAGATGGCAGCATGCAGCCCAATGGTGCCAGGTTTTCACGGGGGATTTCGACAGAAACACCGAGTCAAGATGAGATAACAGTCGATATAAAGTGATCGAGAAAGTGAGTGACACTTCTTCAATTAGTAGAATCACATTCATATTAAGCAATATGATTCGGACTTTTGAGTGTCCTTTAAAGATTCAAACTCATAATCATTAGAGACAAGCACAACAAGTCTTAACAAATCTTCTGCAACCTTCTCGGTATTTCAATAAGTTTGAGATCCGAATTCAAATTTAAAACCCGCGACTTCCTGGAAAAGAAAGACAAGGAAAACAGGGTCCAAGAACCATTTCCACTATCTACAGATTGAAAAGTTGAAGTCTTTACCAGAATTTCTGTTTTTACAATGAAGAGAGTGAATTACATCAAGGAACAACGGATATAGCCTTAGAAGCGAAACAATAATAAACCCTGAATTCTTGTGGGACGTGAGTTTTGGCACAGCCACTACCAACCAAATCTGCTTTTCATAAACCAGAAGAACAATAGCTCTGAGGATCAATTTATGTCCAATCGAACCAGCAAGCTGAGAGCGGAAAAAACTACAAAACATCAGAAAAAATTGCATTGTTCAAGTTAAAACATAATGCTAACTATGCATTTATACGCATACTAACGGATTCCCGAACCACATAAACATAGCAGAAATCATTGATCCAAATCACATACTCTGATATAAAGTGCAAACTTGAATTACTCAAACCAAAGTCCATGAAGAAAATAAAAAGCAAGAAAACCAAGGGGAAAACTGGGTTATTCAATTTGTCCCCTTATGCACGGCAAGTCAAGTTTGAGCCGGAAATTGGCTCAGTTTGACGACTTGAAAATGAAAATAAAGAATTGTTGCAGAAGAGGCTTGACAAGAAAGAAAGATTTTGTGTACTTATTATCATCATCAGTCCAGCAAACAGATTTAGTGCAGTCGACTTGAATCCAGGGCTGCATTTCTCCGAGTTCATGATCGAGTTTACCCGATTCGATAAACTGCAAATCCTCCAAGAGTATCACATAATGTTTATGCACGTCTTCCGCAGTTTTTCCCCCTCCAACCATGGCAGCAACCACTTCCCAACGATCCGGATGTCGTTCATCTACCACAGCTAGAGACAGCTCGAACAACTTGTTCTCCTCCCAGCTCCAACCACACAAAACATCCGGGAACTTATTCATGTGACAGACACCCTTTTCCTATGATCGATCGATAACGGTTCTTTTGTGGCAATTAAGTAAACTTAATAATTGCTTTGCATTCTAGGATTCCTCGAAGAAGAAGACGAAGAAGAAGAGCTGACGGGACAAGTTGTTTGATTCTCCAGACCAGATTCCAACGCCCCTATGTCATTGGGGAGGTGTCAGATATCTGTTTTTGAGCAGCAAATCTTCCCTTTTTGTTTTGTTTTTCTTTTTGTCAGATACAACAGGGTGAAATTTTGCTTAGTTTAGATCTAAACATGGGCACATAGTAGATTATACTATTTAATCAATCTGGGTCTAAAACAGGAAAATCAAAGCAGGGAAACAGGCAAAACTTCTGGACTTAACTAACCATTTCTTGCCATACCTACAGCCTCGGATTCTAAATATCGTTAGATCCGGCAAAATTCTCTACCATGAAGCAAAAGAAAGAGACTTTTGTGGGTAGGATCACATCTTGCTTGATTTCCCCCCCTCAAGTTTCCATGCAATTACAGTTGAGAACATGGAAGTCATTTTCAAGGACTTTTTAATGGGTAGAAAAGACTTGGCTGTAGAAAGAAAACATTTTCTATCTATCCTGTTCCTTTTTCCACTTATTGGACGCCATCGTTGGCCACTGAAAACTAATCCCAAACCAACTATTCCATCATTTTTCATTTATGAAGTTTCTTAGGGTGAGGTTTGCTTTTTAATTGATGTGTTAACCTGTCCCCTTCAGTTCGCAGGGATGGACTTAGAGAACCGTCAAGATAATCGTGTTTCCTGTAAATTTTAAATTATGATATATTTTTAATATTTTTAATATATTAAAATTTTAAAAATTCATACCCGTAGCATAAAATAATACATCCATTCCTAAACTCGAACACTTTTGATTTCGTCTTTTTATCATTCATTTTTGTTTTATAATAATATTTACTATAATATTTTCATTTTCAGATCGGTGTCTAGGTGAACAAGTCCACCAAATAGCTCGCATGCCGACAAAGGCGACTGTGTGACTGACAATATTCCTTGGGGGCGAACAAGGTGGTTTGTAAAGATATTCCATAACAGGGCAGAGTAAAATTGAGTGAATCTAGCATGTAGAGTAAGAGAATTGAATTAAAAGGCAAGCATGCATCATAAACTTTTACAAATTGCTTCAATGTAAAACATTATAAAGTATTTATTTAAATGGAATCAAGGGACAACCACTTCCAAGGCTCAAACTAATACAATTCACTCAAGTTATACACGTTTGGTCCAAAAACGCTTAAATTTACTTGCAATGCCAGGAATAAGGCTCCCTTATCATACTCCCATTCCATGTTCTTTGTTGATTGCCAAAGCGCTTAGCAGTCTCCACATAAATAAAGTTCCGGTTTGATGAGGTTTATTGTTGCATCAATCTCTGCCAGCAGCAACTGAACAACCCAGCTGGTATATATACAATCGGAGATACTGCCAGGCTGATACTAAACCCAAACTGTATAAAGCAATATCTGCCGAAAAAAAGGATTACCACAAACTGTGGAGAGAAGAAAGCCTTTACCATTTAACTGCTTAAGCAATACCAGCAACCACCAATCATATTTGGGATAGCTTGTAAACATACCAAATCAGCGTGGAAGCAGAGGATTGATTCGCTACTTTACTGACCTCTCTGATCCTGATAATTTCCAGGCTAATTCCATCTAAAACTTCTTTCGCCTTCTGCAGCTCCCCGATATGGAATTGCAGCAGATGAAAATAAAAAGGAAAAGGCTAAACGGAAACATAAAAGTATGAAAAACCTATTCCTACTTGCTTTGCCATGGTCCAAATATCACAAGCCCATCACTAGTTTCCTTGATGGTCGATTATTTGTGTTCTTTTTTGTGAAAGTGACCCTTGTCTCTTTACCATCCCAACCCCAATTCTCTAAACACAACGTGCTTACCATCTTTCACCACCTTAGGATCACTTTCAGTACCAAAACCACCGTTGATCAGATCAAGCAGCAGTTTCAGCATTTGTTTCTGTAATAGTCTCCGGAAGGGTGACTGTAATTGGTTGCCATCCTGATTGATGATTTATAATCCATTTCTTCACGGCAACAATCATATTCAAGATCTGGATAGCATCACCTAAAGCAAATTCTTCCAAGCATGCCTTTTTTAAAGCGAGAGCTGCTTCATATCTGCAGATTTGGTAACAAAGTTAGGCAGAGGGAATCCCCTATAAAACCTAGGACCAACTAAAGAAGGGAAAACAATAGAAACAGAGAGGAGATCACCAAAGCATATAATTACCTGCATTGATAAGCCATCATTGCAGATCGTCCAGCAGGGGATGATAAAAACTTTTGTATTCCATCCCAAGTTTTCTTTGAGTATTGATTAGGATTCCCACCGATGGGATTGATACACTTCCATAGTTTCTCATTTCTACCAACATACAACTGCATTGCACCTAAACTTTGCTTCAATACCATATGTTGCTCAACTGCACTATCCAAAGCCTTCTTTACATCAGTATTGCGGTGTTTTGGATCTCCATATCGAATGCAATCATTAATGTTCGCTTCAGTAGGCATAATTTTTTCGGTTTTCAGTGTGTTTAATGCAAGTAAGATAACACCTATAAGACCTTGCACATATTCAGATGGTGATGAGCATCCTTGAGCTCCCCAGCTGCCATTGCTAGATGAACTAGAAATTGGTGAGGACGAGGGAGGTGGAAATTCAGGACCGCAATGATGCCCATTACTAACTTGCTGCTGACTTGCTTGGCCATTGTGCAACACATGGCTCTTTTGTGGCACATTTAGGACACCTTGATTAGGCAATGGCTCGATAGAGCTTGTTTTGAACTCTCCACAGATTTGATGGGGAAAATTAGAAGGATTTTTAGCATGGGTGCAGGGTTTTAACTTACCAATATCAGGCATATTTTGTGGGGCCAAATATCTAGGCCCCTCCGATCTAGGAGGCATTGGGCGGAAACCATGACTTTGTGTATTAGGGGGCAGCAATTTATCTTGTGCAGAAGCTGGTTGTAGAGGAAGGCTATTCGGCCGAAATGAATTAGGAGGATTTTGAAGGATTCCCGTGAAATTACCATTGTTACTTCCTGAAAGGTCATGGCTGCTAGGAAAGAAGTTTGGAGTAGACTTGCTAGAAGGGACAGCAGGCTCACTGCCACCAAAACTCTCATGTGGTAATCTTTTTAACGACATTGCCTGTGAATATTCTGACTTGTATGGGTATCCATTGTTCATATTTTCTTTAATGGTAGTGGTTGGCACACTAGAGGCTCTAGATATGCTTGGCTGATTGGGAGTTTTCCTGATACATCTCCCTCTATATTTGCTATCCCCATTCCTTCCAGAATTAGGAAAATTTGGATTCCCCAATGTACCACTTTCTGAACTAAAGGCCATTGGTTGACTGTACTGAACCATTTCAGGAATTGGGTTATACAACATTTCAGGGTTAAAACTATTGTGGCCAAGTTTAGTTGATTCATCACTCGAAAGGGGAGGACCACCGGCTGAAAGACTCATCCAAAGCCATACGCTCTTGGCCGCAGCAACGAGGGGTGCGGATGCCTTCATAGGCTGCGCCAAGAGAATATTATATCTCCTCATGCGTAACTGATGGAGAGCATTAGAAAAATCCCTATCGCCAGAGATCAACAGATAATTCGCGGGAGCAGGATTATCAACTGCCCAGAACAGCATATCAACTAGAATCTTTTTATCGCTCGCATCTTTCACACCTGCTCATATATAAACCTTAATTCATCAACAACCTTCTTTTTCTCTAACATCTTAATGTTAATTTTAACTTCATGACAAAAATAAATAAAACTCTTGATCTCAGCACAGTAAGCAATTTTCAAAGATCAGTACGAACACTAAGTTTTTTTTAGTAATAAAAAAACTAAGTTCTAAAATACTACCGTAATGCGTCCAGATCATTGCAACATTAACGCAAAAAAAGGGTAACGATTCAAGCTTGAGATATAAGAGAAATTAAGGGTGTCGATTAGGTTACCAGCGGGTACATGATTGAGTGCGATGCCGGGGCTGGAAAGCGCCTGCTGTACAGAAGAAGGAATCCGATTGGTGTCGCCGTAGGCGGAGATGGAAACGGGCCCGCAGTAGTTAATCTTAACCAGCGCCGAACTAATGTTCTGCGCGATGGCATGCGGGTCGCAGTGCTTAGGGACCTGACAGTTCTCTATGTCCCACCAAACCGACGTCTTCGCCGAAACGTACTGAGATTCAGCCGCGCCACCACTGTAGCGAGGCGCTGCCCCGGCTGTCGTAGTGGCGACGACGGAGGCGGCCGTGATAGCACCGGTTACATATCCCCCCATGAGTAGCTCACGGTAGAATGGTTGAAAGTAGCTAGGCGCAAGATAGCATGTAAGAAAATTTTGGGTTTGATTGTTTGCTTTTCACTTCGCTTTGAATTGGTTCGGTCTTAATAAATTTTCTCTAATTATTCTTTGGGTCGAGTCTTGAAGACATAAGACGATGAATCTCTACTTTGCTTAAGCTCTGGTTAATAGAAGGATCTAACACTCTAATATAGAGAAAGAGAGGGGGTTTCGTTTATGTACTTTTTCTAACCCTTCCATTACGCTTACTGGGGGAGAGACTTGGAATATATGCAGTAGTCAACTCACTCGACGCGGCATTTATTAATTTTTTTTTCTGATTTAACACGGCACTGGGTTAACTGCAATAATTGTTTTAGTTGAGACTGAAAGCACCAAATTCCGTGGTGCGAGGGACAAGAGCTACTGGTCAAATGGACTAACAACCTCTTCTGTCTATTTTCCCATTGTCTTTTGACTTTCATTATATATTTTCTTTATTCATTAATTGCTTGGATCTTGCCAAGAAAGTTCGACAGACGTGATGTTTTGCATCTCTTCTTGCGCACCATTTCCCCCCTGCTTTCGCCCTTGACCTAATGCGACATAGTAGTATTCTTTGTTTTCATCTTAAACTTGTTTAAAGCCATCTACATGATATGATAATATCTTGTTATACTTTAAAAAAATGATTCTAAAAGTTATTACCTCTTCGTCGAAAGAAATCTTTAAATAAGTATCCCTATTTTTCAAAAGTTTTACACTCCAGAATAAAATTCAATATTAGACTATCAAATATATTTAGACAGTTAATTTATAAGTAATCATCACTATCTTATTTCTGACACCACTAAAACGAGATAACAATAAATACGCTCAACTCGTACTAATAAAAGGATTGAAATTCTCAAAAACTAATTTTTTTTATCTTTTACCTTATGATCGACATTCTTTTACAAAAAAAATATCGACCAAAGATCGATAAAACAAATTTATTCTCATCAATATATTTTTTACATTCTTTAAATTTATTTGTGCTCAACTTTTAATGATTATTAATGGTAATAAACTAACACTAAATGCAATATTCAATAATTAACGTGCTCTCCTTTTAATGCATTAAAAATTATAAATTATTTATGTATTAATTTAGTGTAAAAGAATTATTATTTTGAGGTCATGAGTTGAACGTCATAAATGTTAGGAATGTAAATATTTAATTTTAAAGGGTTGGAAGTTTTTTTTGAATATATATTATATTATATTATATTTACCTTAAATTAATAAAAAGAAAGTTATAAATTATTTATTGATTAGTGTCTTGAATTTTTCAATTTAAGATTAATTATAATTATAGCCGGACCCAAACAAGAAACTTTTTTCATTATTCATTAAAACCTCTGGACCGGTTCTCGCAGCTCCAAGTGTGGAAATGTTAGTAAAGATGTGTTGATTGGCGATGAGACGACAAACGTATAAAAGATGCAAAAGTAACGAATCCCCACCCACTACACTATTCTTTTCTCTAATATTCAATCAAGCACATCTTTCCGTGTGTAAAGTTATCTTTCTACCTCATCAATCATGAATCCATTCCCCAACAATGCTGCACTGCAACCGGGAAATATATGTTTCTAGATAGTTCTCATTCGTTTCTTCTCATGCCTACCCAACCTGATCCAAAGAATGAAGTTTCTATATGCCTTCCGCATATTTTTTTTTTGGCGATTTATTGTAATCCAAGCAATCGAAGGTACATAATCATTCATGTAAGCAAAGGACAAGATGAGCATTTTGTTAAAGGAAGAAAGGTTATGATTAATTTTGAAAATTTTAATTTCAACTCCTAAAATTTTTAAAATTTTAAGTTGCCCCAAATTCTATCGCTAAGTTCTGCCAATGCGTAAAAGATGTATATATAATAATGTGAGTGGTGTGTTCACTTGCAGGTTCAGACCGGACATTTAACAGAAGTTGAAAGACTTTGATCTCGATGCTAATATTTAGATTGCACACACAAACACAATACAACAATCGTTATCTGCAATCAAAATAACCAAATGCTTTTATTATAAGATAATGACATGTATAATGATCATCCAATAAAATAGACACTAAAATTTTATGTGAAAAATCTTTTCGGGAAAAATCAAGAATAGAAAAGAAGAAACTTCACCAATGTCAAGAGAATAAGAATACAAGAGGAGTCTTCACTAGGGATGGGCATGGGTCGGGTTTCGGTCAACCCAACCTGAAAATTTTACATCGTTCACCCGACCCGACTTTTTGAGATAAAATCTGAACCAGGTCCGACCCGACCTAAAATAATAATAAAAATATTATTTTTATTTAATAAAAACAATAATTTAATTGAAAAAAATAATATATAGAGGGTATTATTGTAAGTATTCATAAATATATAAGGTAAAGTTATATTTTTTCCTGATCGTGTCGGGTTGGGTATTTTTCACCCTAAACCCGACCCGAACTCATTTTCTTTAGAAAACCCCGACCCAATCGGGTCAGGTTTGAATCCCATGCCCATCCCTAGTCTTCACGGACAACTTGATCTCTAAGCCTAATTCTTAATATCTATTTATAGGGGATATATATTTGATTATAAATATATATATATATATATATATATATATATATACTCAAAGTAACTTTTCTACATAAAAGAAAATAAAATTTTCTACTTTTAATCAAATTAAGTTTATTATTTTCTCAATTAATTTGTGTCATTATGTATTTGCTCACAACTTGTTCACTACAAGTAATATTATGCATAACATCATTTCGATCATTAATGACAATTATATCTTTTTTGTTATACTCACAAAACTTAATTTTCTTATTCTCGAATCTATTATGCCCATAAAACTGAACTCTCTTTTCTTTCTTAAACCCCTTATGCCTATGGAATACAACAATTTTCTATTCCCAAAACCATATTTTCTTTGCTTTGAAGTTTCCTCTAAAATTAGGACTAAAAGTGTTTTAACGTTAAATCCAAACATAGTTCACTTTCTCCTTTTTGGTTTACCATATGAAAAACAATTGTCTATTTTCCTTTCAGGTCGGAATTGACGCATGGAAGAACGCTCGAGACAGCACTGGCTCTACGCCAGAAGATCATGCTCGTTTACGTGGTCACTACTCATACATCCACCTGGTACAGAAGAAGACTAGTAAGAGACCTCCTTCTGGGCATGTGGTGGATGACATTCCTGGTACCCTCTCTGATTGCAGCAAAAGGCAAAAGCAAAATAACGAGTCAACCCCCAGCTTTGAGATTGGCCGGCTAGAATCAAGGCCCTTGAAGCGACACTGCAAGCATTGTGATCAGAAGCTGGCTTATGGATATGGAGCAGCCAGCAGGTCATTTGCTTACAGGCCTGCAATGCTATCAATGGTAGCAATTGCCGCGGAATGCGTCTGTGTTGCTCTACTATTTAAGAGCTGTCCTGAAGTTCTTTACGTGTTCCGTCCCTTCAGGTGGGAAATGTTGGGCTATGGAACTATCTGAAGTCCAGTAACTCTTCCTCCTCCAGTCATTAACAATTTAATAGGTGGTTTGCATTTGTAAACCGTTTACAATAAAAGTGAAATTGAGGTCTGGATTACAACACCACTGTTTAAACCGAGTTTCGGATGCAGTCATGTTATTTACACACATAACCTATGTTTATTTGTAGGTCAGTCGTCAATGTAATGCTATCAAGATGTTAACATAATAAAACATGCATAGTTCCTCTCTCTCTCTGGGCTTGAAGTTGAATTGGACATTGGTTTTGATACTCCCATGTTTGGAAGTGAATTCTGTATGTTAAAGCTTAATGTTTGTTTTAAATGCAATATAGTTTGTATTTTTTTATGTGTATAATTTAGTCCCTCTTTGATTAATCAAATGCTTAATTGAGTAGGGAAGTTAATGATTTAACTCAAAAAAAAAATATTAAAGCTCATATAATGTCATTTTGATTCTTAAAATTTTAAAAGATTTATAATTTGGTCCTTAAGTGCTTGTTTGAATTAAATTTTGTTTGTTTCTACAGCCACCTCTGAAAGTAGCACCTCTGAGAATAATTTGACATACCCGTTTTCTAGGATTATGATGACCAAGAGATTTGAAAAACATACTAAGGGCATGAGTTGCGTAATATGACTAATTTACTGAAACTATGGTAAAAGATTTTGTTGTTAATGAAGTAATTTATATAATTATTATATCATTTGAGCAGAAATGAAATAAATTAAATTTTCTACATGTTTATTTTATTCTAATTTGCTGTGTACACTGTCCTCAAACTCACTATTGTGCGTAAAAGTGACGAAGTGATGACTAATGTTGACTGTTGATTACTGATACTTTAACTGAATATAAGTTGTATTATAAAACAAATTAGGAATTACTTGGAAAAGCTTATACAGTTTAAACCTCTCTTAGACCATTCAAGATAGCTTCACACTATCTTTTGGAGAATAACTTCTCTTGAAGCTCGTGGAATGATTGAAAATCACTAAAAAGATTACTCTTGAGTATTTCTAGAAATTTTCAGAGAAAAAAATGAGGATGATAAAGATTAAAAGGGAGGGGATGAGCTTTTGCCCCTCACACCCAGTTAATACAAATTCAAATTAGCAAGAGACCAGTCTTCTTTCAAAATTTTAGTCATTTCTCTTTTATTCTCAACTCTGAACGTTTTCTGTATTCTTGGTGCGATCTCTCTTTTATGACTTTTAAGTGATAATGTGTAAGATATTTAAAGCAGAATACTATGACACCAACATTTACAAGTTCTCAATCGCAAAAACTTCGTATGTTAGACCAACAATAATTATACTTCATTAGCAGTTTGCCTGAGCGGTTACACACTCAAGTAGAAGCATGTTATCTCCTTTGGTAGTTTAGTTTAGCTATACCAAATGTAAAAACAGATGCAAAGACAAGTGGAAAAGCAAGTAGTACAATGGCTATTATGGGCAAATCTTTATGTTTATACCCATACTGACTGTTCAAGAAAGCATCGAGTGCTTTTCGCTCTCCAAATGCTATGATCTCTTCCTTTATATCCCCGTATTGTGAAATGAGGATACCTTTCAGTGACCACGAATTTGGGCAAATCCAGTATCCCCAAACCCACCATTTAGGAATTTTCTGCGAGCAATAAATATAAAGTATGTATTACTTTAGAATCTAGAAAATAGAGTGTAGAATTGATGGTTGATATAATGCAAATAAAGCATCAATTTTGGTCAGTAAAGTATTAAAGCTGAAGCATGCTATCCTTGTCATTAATCTAACCATTCTGCTAATTAAAATTTTCAGGTGCCTAAATGATTCGTTTTATTAGGAATTGTAAAAGTTGTGAATTAAGATTGGGTTTCAGTCAGTAAGACGAGACAAAATTGACTTACCGGTCCCGGTATGAGGAATCCTGCGAACAAGCTCATGATCGTGTAACAGAGGCTTGCAAATATTGTAGCTACTTGGTAAGTTGGAGTCAAAGAAACAATCATCATGCCTAAATATTTGTAATAAAGCAGCGTACAAATTGTGGTGTAGAAGTACCAAAATACTTTGTAAGCTGATCCGTAGAAGTTTACAGTTGGATAACTGATTGTCAGGAATAGTATTGCTTCTAGAAAGATATAAGGGATCTCAATAATCACCTGCAATTATGAAGGAGCAAATTTATACTATGAAGTCCTGGTACTAGTTAATGATTAGAAGGCATTCTATAAATTTTTTTGACCTGTGCCAATGAATATGCCCATGAGGAGTACATTCCGGCAAATCTTTCACGGTAGACAACAGTCTGCTGAGTAGCTACAAATGGAATAACGGATGAACAACCGCTTGTCCCAGCGAATATCATGAAAATGAACGTTGATCCAATTACGTTGAAAAATTCCTGCTCATCACGTCTTCAGAAAGGGGAGTAGAATGTAAGCATGTCACACAGTAAGTATTTAATCTAATATACTTCGAGCAGTTAATTTTTTGAAGTCTTTAATTCAGCTTTTCAATAGATACAAGTCTATTTGAATTGAAATTCATATAAAATCTGATCCTTTTCTCTTTCCACGAAGTAACTTTTATTACTATGTGCTAAGGTTTTAATGCGTTCTTTTGGAACATGAATTATCAGAGTATGCTAATTGCACCTGCTCATTAACTTGATATAATGAGTAATGACTTATTTCCATTGCTTAAATTTTTGTTGATCTGCTAAATTAATTTATATGTCCTTACTTCTCATATTGTTGCCTGCTCTATCTTCTATAGATTTTAGCATAAGGAGACAAGTTATCAGTACTAATATCTTTCCCTTGTCTGTTTAGCATTCTATTTATCCTTACAAATAAAACCAGCAATTTGAACAGGAAAGTTGATTTGTGCAAATGGTTATCAAGATGTTGTTGCTTATCATTTTGAAATGATAAGTATATTGCACTCGTTATCAGATGACAGTACATACATGGGCATTTGTATGAAGATGTACTTATACTGATTAGTTAGATTAGTAAAGAAAGGCAAACAACTTGCATAGTCCTATCAGAATGTCCAATGCTCATATTAGAGCTTGTGCCAATGATCAACTTACTTTATGGAGATACATTTTATATTAACTTTATTGCATAAATCATCGTGATGCTTCATAGAGGAACATTTCTTAGTATAGCTATGTGACCATGGTGTTTAAGTGATTGCCAGCAATAGTAAAAGGAGAAAAAAGAGCTAGGAAGCAACTTACATGTTCTGTCCTTTCTGCCAAAGTAAGGCTCCATATAATGAAGAAGATAAAATAATAAATGCCAAGCGTACTAAATTGTATTTTGGAGTTCTCCAATAGGACAAGTGCTGTTTCCAAAGGCATGCTTTAAGTTGCTCCCATCCATTTTGTGGAAAGGGTGTCGAAAATTGTAGTTTCTCCGAACCCTGTGCTGGAAGGCTTTGGGTTTTAACTATTTCTTTGGTTCTCCTACAGAGAAGGAACATTATATCACTTGGCATGATAATTTATAGTTAGGAACAAGAAACCTTATTTAATACACGGGTTTTCAATTACCTTGTGGTGTAAGAAAACCGAGTGCTTAAAAGCGAAATAGAATGGTTTCAGTGTTCGAGTGAAAAATATAAAATTCTTTGGTTCAAATGTTGTTAAGAGTGGTTATGGCTCCTTTAACTAAATACCCAAATCTGACGTCTTACACTCGTTAGTGGTGAAACTTGACAAACTTAATAGTTTTTAAACACATTTAAGATAATGCACTTACTTGTAGATGTAAGATTCTTTGTAGATACTGGTAAAGTCTATTCCAAGATTAGCCTCCGCAGAAGGACTGGTGACTTCTAACATCCATGTTGCTGGGTTATGGTTTTCTTTAATTTTTGGTACTCCAGGTATACCCTGCCATAAGGGTGTAAAATTGTTATAATGAGCGTTGAATGAGTTATAAAATGAGAGTCGCCATAGAAAGGCCATTTCGTATACTTAGGATGCTATTCCTTCATTATAATGTCATTTTTCATGTCAGATATATGGAGTAAGGTCCTAGGCTAACTAGCTAGAGACATTTACATATGTAACGCAAATGAAACTTTACGTAGTGATTTTGATTTGTAGGATTACCTCAAAGTATTCTATAAGCCTACTTGAGTGCTGACCCAGTTCTCCAGAATATATAACTTGTCCCCCTTTTTTCATCAAAATAAGCTGCAAGGATACGAGTATGTTATGAAAAAAATGTGGCTCCTGATAATACTTATTTAGGCCTGAATGGTTCCATCCTATTAACTCCTGGTGAAAAATTTTCTATTTTCATAATGATTGTCCCAACCAAATAATTTTTTATATTTTAGCTTATGACAAGGAGCTAAAGCTTTAAGGGGTAAGCTATAACAGCCTCTGTTCACACCTCGGTGTTTAACGCCTGCTGCCTGATTAAGTCACATCTAATAACATAGGATAGTACATTTAATTCATAATAAGATAAACAAGAATAATTCAAAACAATTCTCATGAAATTCTAATTTGAGAATTTTATGAATCTGCCAGTTAATTACCTCATCAAATGCTTCAAAGATGTCGATACTTGGCTGGTGGATGGTGCATACGATCGTCCGCTTTGTGTCAACAATATTCTTCACAACTCGCATGACAATTGCAGCTGCTCTGGCATCTAAACCCGACGTAGGTTCATCCATAAATATTATGGATGGATTAGAAACAAGTTCTACTGCAATGGTTAGCCGTTTACGCTGTTCTGGTGATATTCCACTTATACGAGGGATGCCAACAAAAGCATCTTTGATTTCATCCAACTCAATCATTTGAAGAACCTCTGCTACAAATTCCTGTTAGAGAGGTAAGCGAGTTAAACAATTTGGGGAAATTTATTCATAATCATGATAAAATTCTAGCATGTATTCAAGTCCTAGGGACAATTTAAGCCAAAGTCGCAAGTATGTAGGTGATGATTTGCTACTTATTTATTTTAAATTTTTTTTTTACACTTTCCTGTTTCTACATAAGATTTAGACAGATTTTCCAGTTCCATGCAAAAGTATCAGAGCATTGCTGCAACAGATCCTTTCAAGATATACAGGTATGAGTTTTGAATCTTTGCCTAGCA